CGTTCCTGATGGAACTCACATAGGGCGTTTGATTTCCTTGTGGCAGGGTCTGATTTCATCTTCTGCGGCCACTGCACCTTGGTGCCTAGCTTCTCTAGTGCGTACACTATTTTTGAAAGAGATACACAAAAGTTATGGGCGGTTAATAAAGGGGGTGTACCTCTTTCGTTTCGGAGTGGGGCGACGTGTCGCTGTAGCGCGTCTGTATGCCTTGGTGGCGGATGGGAGGATCTGGTGTATGGCTGATGTCGATCTCTATTGGAGCGGGGGAGTTATTCTCGTCGTCCTTCGTTCCGTCGATCTCTCCTCGTTTCTAAGTGTATCGCTGTTAGCCGTTGGGTCGGCCCATTAAGACCGTCCTCGTCCGCTCGTACCTCGGCGCAATAGGCGTTGTGGATTTCCTCCCATGTGGTAGGGAGATATTTCATGAGGCGGCTCAGCAGCTTCTTGGTTGCCCTCGAACCATCCCTGCTTAGCCCGTTCTGGAAAGCGGCGACTGCCATACCTTCCGATACGTTTGGTAGACTCATCCTTACCCTGTTAAACCTTGCCAGGAAGTCCCTGAGTCCCTCTCCTGTGGTTTGCCTGACGGCGAAGATGTCGTTGACCCTGGCCTCCGCTTTCTTCGCGCCTGCATGGGCTGTGACGAACTTATCCGCCATTTCCTCGAACGTTGATATTGCCTTAGCCGGTAGCTGAGAGTACCATGTTAAGGCCCCTCCTGTCAACGTCTCGCCAAACTTCTTCAGCAGTACCGACGGTACCTGTTCTTTTGATAGGTCGTTGCCCTTCACAGCGGTGACGTAGTGGATCAGATGATCCTCGGGATCTGTGGTTCCGTCATATACCCTCAAATAGGGTGGCATCTTGAAGGTTTTTGGGGTGGAGTGAGGGGCAGCTTCTTCAGTGTATGGTTGTTCAACGAACCTTCCCACGTCGCGTTTTGGTAGCAACTTAGGAGCACCGGGGATCTTGTCGACCCTCTCCTGATGTTCCTTCATCTAACCACGGAGCGCCTTGTTTTCATTTTCCATTTCTTCCATCTTCTTTAGGATGGCTGTTAGTGTGCCATCGTTAGTCTGTGTCTCGATGGGTTTGTTATTCGCTAGTGCAACTTCCGGTTCACCCACGGCAGCAGTGGTACCTACCGTTGGTGTACACCCGATGTTACTTTGTGGTGACCTCTCAACCAAGCCACTTAGAGTGCTTGTTAGCCATCTTTCCAGTAGCTTCTTGACCGCTGAGGGTGCTTCCGTAGCCGCAGATGTGGAAGCTCCTTTTTCGTGCAAGATCGTCAGACCTTTGGATGGGGAAGGTGAGATCTCTGCACCCGGTGTGATGCTAGGGGTTGCATTCAGGATGCCATCGTCACTGGCCTCGTTGAGAGGGCCAAGGAGATTGGTAGTGACACCCAATATAGCTTTCGATCTTGTGTTATTTTCGGCCATTTTCTTTTTTTGTGTGGTGTAGAGAGTGGTAGTTGGTTGATCTCTAGGTGGATACTATGGTTTTGATTCTCGAAAACCCCACAGACGGCGCCAAATTGTTTGGCTCAAAAGTTAACAATATACTTTGTAAGCTAGAAAACAATCAAAAGTAAGAAAAGGGTAAATCGTAATCAAATATAATAAACCTAGAGATGCAAAGATGATATTATTGTTGTAGATCTAGTATTGCAAAGTGATAATATGAACTCAATAAGATATGTTCGTTTGAGGTAGAGATAGAGAGAGAGAGCCAGAAAATGAGAGAGTTGTATTCGATCAGAATCCCCCCTATTACAATGTGGAGGTCTCCTTTATATAGTAGGAGACCTCCCTCGAAATAATCAAAAAGGTACAAAAGTTGGTGGCTTCTACTCAGTAAAAAGGTCAGGCACTAAACGACGTCACTTCTTCTTCGTCAACTTGGACCGTGCCCTCACTCGGGTCGCCCTTATTATAAGGGACGTGCCCATTTGGCGTGGGGGCATTATGAGCCAAATTTAACCCTATACAATAGCACATAATTATAGAATGGTTCCACAACTATATATCGATCGGTAAAAAGAAACATAACTATATCACTTGGGAACTGTTTGTGTAAATTGTGTTTCAGAAGAGTGTAGTTCTAGATTATAAAAAGCTAAAGTATTCAGCCAACCCCCACCCCCAACCCCTCCCCAAAAAAGAAAAAGAAGAAGCTTATATATAGTAAAATATTATTATATTTACATGCCATTCTTGGTAGAAGAACAACAACTTTGCTTCAATATTTACAAACTAGTGGGAGAAATTAAATTCTCTGTAGGGAGCAAAACTTATACTTAAAAAAAAGGTCTGATCAAGTGGACGGAAAGAGCAGGCTAGTGGGGGTCCTTAAAATCTGACCATCTTTGAACTCTATATTATTGAGCTTTTGTTGGCACCATTTCAGATGAGAGGTGGAAATGATAGACATATGTAGAACCCTTGACACCAGCTTCATGTCAATCAATGTAAACAAAAAGTCTATTTTGGTGCAATTTTCTCCTAATTGCTGAGGTTTTATTGCTCTTCTCAGCCAGCATCTTCTCTTACCTTTCACGTCCTTCAGCCATAACTCTTTCTTCACATAAAATTAAAAATCATTTCGAGTCAGTTCTTGCTCAACATCTCAACTAATTCTTCACTTAGATTATAAATTTTAATGGATTGATGTGTGTTTGGTATGAAAGAATATATATTGATTTCTGGAAAATGACTTACTTTATAGAAAATATTTTTTGGTATACTTTCGGAGGAAAACACAATTACTATTAAAGATCAATAATAATATTTGCAATTTGCAAATCGGATAATAATTTGATAAAATATTTGAGTATTAAAGATTGATATTAATATTAGTATATCGGACGATATTTTGATAAAATATTTGAGTATTAAAGATTGATACTAATGTATACTACTAAGTTTTTGGTTAAACGCATATGAAGTAAAGGGCTGCAAAAATTGTGAATGAAAATGAGTTCCGTCCAAAAGTTATATATAGTAGTGTTGCGAAGTTATTGTTCCTCTCTCTTTCGAAAATATTTTTCCTGAAAATATTAATTTCTGACGGTAAACACCAGAAAATAGCTTATTTTAAAAAAATTTATAATCGGAAAAACATTTTCCATTGATAGACCCAAGAGTGAGAGGCTTAATTACCAATTGAAGTTTCTTAGTCAAGTCATGTAGAAGCCATATGTCTCTGGGATCTTCTACACACGAATGATTCCTCAAAAAGTTGTTCCTTTTCCATGATAAGGTCTTTTTGCTATCTGTTCTTAGATAAAACCAGAAAGCATTTACGCATTTTTCTATGGCCTTTAGCACTTCTACTGCCTTGCTTTTTTCTCCATTCAGTCTTTCATTTGATTCTACATATCCTGCGATGGCATTAGAAAAAGAAACTCTTAAAATACTAGCTAGAAGATGTTTATTCATTATTTCTTGGGTGACAAGGCAACGGACAAATAAACTTCTTATGTATTAGGTGGGAGTGAGTTTAATTAATCATTTATTAAACGAAGATTATAGTCAATCAGTCAGCTCATTGAATGCCATTAATCCCCTTTTAGCAGCAGGACAAAACCAATGGCGGCTGAGATCTCCTTAATACTAATTAATTAATACTCCATCCGGTCCAAAATAAGTGTTTTTTTTTTTTTTTTTTGTATGTTTTCACACAAATTAAGAAATCCACCTTTTGGCATTAATTAGCAATAATTGATCATATTAACCTTTACTATCTCACATAAACACTCCTAACACATATTCCAACACCATTTACTTCAAGGACAATGTAGGAAAAAAATAATTAATTCATTCTTGAAATCTGGAAAAATCACTTATTTTGGACCACAAGAAAAAAGCCAAAAAATCACTTATTTTGGACCGTAGGGAGTATCTGCTTAAAGTGCATGTACAGAGAAATAAAATACTAAGTATATACTCGTATAAAAAAAGAGATTTAAGTTATACACTTTCATCGTAAGAAAACTTTTTATACCATCAGATCATCTTTATCTGTTAAAGCAGGTGACTTTTTTTTATTTTCAACTTTACAGATCCCATATCTTAAAAAGGCTAACGTATAATTTTTTTGGTTGACAATAAAAAATTTACACTAAAACTATGTACTCTATATAACTTAAACTCTAAAAAAGTTGTACTAGCTAGAAGCCAACTGCTAATGGGTCTACCTACTCAACTTGATAATACAGTTTTACAATATATAAGCACTCATTATTTAATAAAGTAGTTCTATCGAAGTGTTAATTAATTCTCCAAGAAAAAGCGAAAATTAAGCCGTTACACGTAGGAAATAGATAAGCGCTCGTACTAATGAATCCCAACTTGCCATGTAAGTCTAAATTAGCAGATATATACTGATCGTTGACAATCGTAGGCCGCCTATTCTTCTTCAAGATTCTCGATATATTTTAGTTCTCTTGCTAATAAAGTGATATAGAAAGGTTTAAACAAATTATTTACCTTATATATACCGTTACACTATGTATATATTTTAACATGTTATGTTAAGTAACTTGCTTTATTTTTAGATGACTAATTACACTTTTTACGAACATTTTATGTAGTTATCATTTAGATAATTTTATAGAGTAAAGATTTTTTGAATAATGCATATATAGAAGTTAAACTCTTTAAAAATGGTGAAGCAGCAAAAATTACCAGAAACCTCTGGAACTTGGAGTAGATTCTTTTGGGAAAATCTTCTGTGAACATAATTCAAATGCCTTTTACCTCCACAGCTATCATCTTCCACAAATCTCTCTAGCAATACTTGAAATTTCTGAAATCTGGCCGCTATATTACCATAAAATACCCCATTTTGCGAAGCTGAACAACAAAAAGCCTCTATTTTTCTGTACTGATGATGAAGTGCTTCCCATGACAAGCATGATTGTGCCACGTAAACTAACTCTATGTCGCTCTCTAAGCTTTTCAGAAGTTTTTTTCTTGCTACTTTGCTCCATGAAATATATTGGACTGGCAAACTTGTAGGCTCCATTTCGTACTCAAATGAATTAAGACTTGACAACTGCTTTCTTAGTACTGCACTTAAACAACCAACAATCACATTGTTAATTAAGTATATATATATATATATACTTGGGCACACAAGCTATATACATAGAGAATCTTACAGTCTGAAGAGAAGTATATAATAAAAAAGGCAGCCCGGTGCACTAAGCTCCCGCTATGCGCGGGGTCCAGGGAAGGGGGACCGCAAGGGTCTATTGTACGTAGCCTTACCCTGCATTTATGTAAGAAGCTGTTTCCACGGCTTGAACCCGTGACCTCCTGGTCATAATATATGGCAACAACTTTACCAGTTATGCCAAGGCTCCCCTTCAGGAAAACTACTATAATAAAAAATAAAAAAATAAAAAGATAAAGAAAACAATGTACACCCAAGGCCTAATAATAATGATCAATCCTTTCTTTTCATCTGCTGGAGGTATTATACAGTATCTTATATGTTGGCGAGAGATAACGGATATTCAATCAAATAATCAAGCTGTGTGTAACCTGGCTTGGACACCACCGATATTTCAAGAAATGAAGAAAAAAATATTTGTATTGTGAAGTTATTGAGCAAAAGGAAAAACTCACTTATGGCAGATAATCTGTCATGATTGAGAATATCAAACCAGCTCATGCTTTCAACATACTTCTGGTACAGTAAATCTTCTTCTTCTGCACGATTTTTGTGAACCAGCAGCTGATCCATTGTCACCGTATTGTTATAGCCACTAAGTGACAGAAAATTTTGGTTCGACGTACCATAATCCGACAGAGACGAATTAGAGCTAATAGGAGATGGAAAATATTCGTTTTGCCCCGGATTAATACCTGGTGACAAACTTGAAACAGAACTCAATGGAGAAAACTCCAGTTCTAGCTCTGTATCGTCAGATAATATTGGACCATTCATTGGAGATAAAGCGACGGTTTTATGATTATCAAATATGTTCATTTCTTCATCAATAGAAGAAATGACTGAACAACCGTCAACCAATACTTCACTAGGATCCTCTTCATGTTCTTCAAAATCCATGGACTCACAGCGATTCGGTTCAAGTAATGAACTAATCTTGTTATTATTCGCGAACATTTGAGAAACTCTAGTTTGAAAATCATATACGTAGATCATGTCCTGCGATTTATTTCTCACGTTCAAAGGGACTGTGCCATTCGCTTTACTTCTCATGTTCAAACTCCTATAAAGGACTATTTCGTTTTGGTTTTCTGGATTTGGAATGTCGTAATACTCCTCAACCTCTTCGTTGGGGATTGGATTTCTATTTGGTATGATGTACTTCTTGAAGAAGAGGACACAGCATTTCAGCAATCTTAGAACGTATGAAATTAAGAAACAAGAGATCCTATAGACAAAAAGGATGAGGTTTAATAGAAATTTGAGCAAAACTGTGATCCAAAGGAAAAGTTGGGAGAGAGCAAGAAGAGAAGGGTGGATATAGAAGCTCAGATAAAACCACTTTAGAAATCCATTTGGTATCACGAATAGTTCAACTAAAAGCCAACAGGTCGATGAAGGGGTCATTTCAGAAATCCTCAGACTTCCATAAACTCTAGGTTCTCGTTATTTAAGGAGGTTTAGAGTTTTTCATGGCCAAGACTTTTTTCAATGTTTGAGTTTTTTAAGTATATATTTCGGACTATTTTTTTTTACTTGGAGAAATGCGTGCATGGTAGTTATCCAATTGAAGCAGCTTGCTTCCGTTGACTAAAGTATATACTTTACGATAGTTGTTAGTGGGTCATTGTATTCGACTTAATGAAAATCTACAAATTAATTGTAGAATCTCATACTTTTGATTAATTAAACGTGTCGTGTCTGGAATTGGATTACTTGTAGACCGTAGCTTAACTTCTAGCGAGTAGGAAGGCCTAGTGTCAATGTCTCAATGCTTAAAATTGATGTTTCGTTTTTTTATTTTCTAGTGTTCTCTTAATCTAATTATTCCCAATGGAATATAAAATTTTAATACCATATATAATTGGAAATTCTCCATTGGCTAATATTATATCACCACACTGTACTGTAGAACCATGCAGCACCAAGAAGTATGAGTTGACGTTTATCTTATTTAAAATTAGTGCCCCATACCGACGAGAAGAAAGCTATAGCATATGTTATTAAGTGATCAACTGAATAAGTTTTGTGTTTTTTTTTTTTTTTGGTTATCTGCTAGAATCTTGGTAATTGACGGGAAGGTTGAAAGAATCTTAGTGAAAACTGCTACGAAACTTCTCTATGATAAGATGAGCCAATATATCCATTAAAAACTGGATAAGGTAACTGAAAACATTAATCAATATTTTCATTTTAAGACAGAAATGAGAATTGTCCTTTGGAGAGGCAAACGGTTAAGGTTAGGGGCAAACGGTTAAGGTTAGGAGCAAAGCGATCTACTCGAGTCCGCTCCATCAAATTCGCATGCTTCCCACTAGCCATGGCTTGGCCCAAACTTCTCGAGTCACCGTGACTTGGATGTGTACTCCTTATGCAGAATGGTCGAGTCATAGCTTATGCACGCCCAAAATTTTCCATATAGATAAGATTTTACGGCACGATCTATATGAGAAAACATATGGAGCCTAAGGATGAAAGTAAACTAGGAGGATGTTATGTCATTATATCGTGTCTGGTCTTACAACAACAACAATAACAACCCAGTATAAAATCCCAGTAATGGGGTCTTGGGAGGGTAGTGTGTACGCAGACCTTACCCCTACTCCGAAGGAGTAGAGATGCTGTTTCCGAAAGACCCTCGGCTCAAGAAAACAGAAAGACACAAGGGAGACAATATTAGTATCACCACATAAATCATAGAAAAAATAGGAACAACATTAAATTTCAAAAGAAAGATGCAAAACAAAAGCGGTAGGTAGTAAATAGGTGATGCTTTGAAAAGCGAAATAGATAAAAAAGATAATCATGGATCAAGTCAATTGCGTCTACACAGTTAGTAACTACCTACTATTTCACAACACACACTAGGAAGTTGGAACATAACAATGATGGGAGTACACATCCTGCACAGAAGCAGAAATGATACATGTGGCTTTTAGAGATACAAGTCACGTAAAAGATAACAGCTAGAAACAAAAGGGCTCGGAATTACATCTGTCTGGACAGAGCATTTTCAATTCTAATCCTAGGTTAGTACTTGTCATGATCAACTCTCATGCAATTTGAATATATTTTTCGGTCAAGCATTCTAAATGAATAATATTATTTGGCTGTGGTTTCCTTCCAGTTGTAATAACCATGCTAGCTACAACAATTGAAAATTCGCTGAGATATGAACTGTTAGTACACGCAAACCACTATCCATTTAGTCTTCACCAAATTATTACTAAACTATAGTCTATAGAACTGAAATTAGTCAAAAGACATTTTCAGATGCCGTATCCATTCTGTCGAAGAGGTACGTTTACCAGTAATTAAGATTAAAATCCCCACTACTAAAGTAAAGCCTATTCCCGTTAGCTCAAATATAGTGTTATGCAACATGTTAGATTTATGGATTTTCCCAACTTCCAATATATTCTAGTTGAAAGCAACCAATAAACGCAAGCGCAAATTTTCTAGTCATATGATTAACTATATATTACGTTACTCATTACCTAACATACATACAACAATGACTTCACAACAAAATACATAAGATAGAAGTGCGGGATCAGAATTTTTTGGAACAACCTCAAGCAGCTTTCTGAGAAACTACAAAGCTTCCTGGATTGATAGTAATGCTCTTGGTGCAATTATCTGTTTTGTAGATTCCAACAAGTCGATCTGCCAGCTCAAACTTATTGTTCCTAAGGCTGCATTCATCAAAACAAAAAATAAAGATAACAATAGCTGATTAGTGCTTATCCCTTTGAAATCTGACAAACGCGAATACACTACCTTATAATCGAATTAGGCATCCTTTGTTCGATCCTTGACGTAATGTCCTACGATGGAGACATTCATAAAATCTGCAACATGCGAACCACCAACATGAATTCAAACGCAGAAAAGAAAGCATGAAGATATCTGTATGAGCCAAACCAGAAAAGAACATACCAAGAGCTGCATCAATCTCATCCACTTTTATTCCATACCTCTTGTCTTTTCAGATACTTTGAATGATTTGCCTCAAGGTGCTTCAATGTTTTGCTATTTTCCCCCCTGAAAGAAAAAGATTGTGACGACCCAAAGGGTCATCACCTGTTTTCTCTTTCATTCCGTGCTTCCGAGGCCTTGAAAACCTCATTTTTACTTGCCTCGATTTGGGTGCGCAGTCCGGGTGCGTAGCCGGAAAGCTTAAATATGAATTCTGTGTAAAAATTTATGAATTTTGATATTATTATGATTAAAGTTGACTTTGGTCAACATTTTGGATAAACGGACCCGGACCAACGATTTGACGGTCCCGGAGGGTCCGTAGAAAAATATGAGACTCGGGCATATGCCCGGAGTCGAATTCCGAGGTCGAGAGCCCGAGAAATGAATTTTTCTGTGAAATTGTTTTTCTGAAATTTATATGGAAATTTGAAATGAAAATGGATTAGAAAGCGTTGGTATCGGGCCCGTATTTTGGTTCCGGCGCCCGATACAGGTCTTATATGTGGTTTAAGCGCTTCCTGTGAAATTTGGTTGAAATCGGACGTCATTTGACGTGTTTTGGATCTAAATATCTAAAAAATAAAAGTTTATGAAGTTTGAAGAAAAAGTGATAATTTTTGAGGTTTGATTCCTCGTTTATGATGTTATTTTGGCGATTTGATTGCACGGTTAAGTTCGTAGGATGTTGTTGAGTTAGTGTGTGTGATTGGTTAGGAGCCCCGAGGGCTCGGGAGTGTTTTCGGAGGTGTTCGGGGTGGTTTTGAACTTAGTGAAATTGCAGAAAAATCTGCAGCAGGTGCTTCAGGTTCCTCTCTCCTTCGCGTTCGCATCCCTTCACCGCGATCGCGTAGAGTTATCGAGTTCTGAGGGCCCAGCCCTCCTTCCTTCTTCGCATTCGCGATGGCTGGACCGCGTTCGCGTAGGTCTCCAGCCCCTTCCCATCGCGTTCGCATACAGGCCAACGCGTTCGCGTAGGCCAAACTCCTTGGACCCCAGTATTTTCTTCTTCGCGTTCGCACCCTTACTCCCGCGAACGCGATGCTTGTCTGACCCTACTCATCGCGAACGCGACCCCTATGTCGCGAACGCATAGAGTAATTTCACCCAGCGATTTTTAAGTCATAAAAACAGAACAATGTCGGGTTTTATTCAAAAAATACACGAACCCTTTCTTCTCCAAAGCTTCTAGGCGATTGTTAGGGCATTTCTTCATCAAAGCTTCTTGGGTAAGTATTGTTTAACTTGTCTCCTTCATTTTCCATCATCATTTATCAAATTCCTAGGCTCAAATCATGTGATTTAGGGTAGAAATTGGGGGAAATGGGTAGAGTTAGGACTTTTTGATTTTTCTTGATTTAGACCTCGTTTTGGGGTCGAATTTGAAAACAAATTGTATATCCGGGCTCGTGGGGGAATGGGTGATGTGAAATTGGTTCGAACCTCGGGTTTTGACCAAGCGGGCCCGAGGTCGATTTTTGGAATTTTGGGAAGAAAGCTTAGAAATTCATATTTACGCATTGGGTTTAGTTTGTTTAGCTATTATTAATATTGTAAAGTCATTATTTCATAGATTTGCCTGAGTTGGAGCCGAATTCGAGGGGTAAAGCTATACTAGAGGCTTGAGTTGAGTTTGGAGCATTCGAGGTAAGTGTTTGATCTAACTTTGGCTTGAGGGAATAGGATTAGAGTATTATTTGCTAATTGCTAAATGTTGAGTACGGTGTATAGGCATGGTGACGAGTATCTATACACCGGTGTCTAGCATGACCGTGGGTCCTTATTTGTGCTTAATTGGGATTCTGTAGTGACTCTTCCTTGTTAATTGATGGTTTCTATATGATATGAAGAGAATGAGAAGGAAATATGATGTGTAAACTCTTTGGAGCGTTGGCTCGATTTTTGACTTGATTAAAAAGTAAGAAATGAACGTAAGAGAAAGAGATGTGATTATTCCCTTGCCGGGACGTGTAAGTTATTGTTGTTGCTCCCTTGCCGGGGTTTAACTGCTTAGTCGTATTCTCCCTTGCCGGGAAACCAC